CCCCCCCCGTCCAGCCCTTTCTAGATTTTGTCCACATTGATATAATCTTACAGAGTTGGGACTCTCCAATTGAAACAGAATAAGAGTTCCTTTTTGAATTCACCTTGTTAAGTATTATTTGAATGCTGTTACCAAGTCTTCATGATGATATTTAAGTGTCTGATCATAGCAATGGACTTGCCCATCCACCGTTGGTTTTTCAATTATGCAAATTCTGATTTGTAACCATGGTGGCTGATGAACGTGTCTGTGATTCCTGGTTTATTGTCCTCAGATCTGTCCTCAGGGAGGGATTACTGGGTCATGCATACGAACATCTTTTCAGCTCAGGATCTGTACTTGCCAACTGTTTGAAGATGCTTTTCTGAGTCTGATGTACCACTTTGATTTGATCTGTTTTCTCCCGCCAGTTCAGAACTATCAGGTAAGAGAATACTTTGCACTTGATGGAGGGAGTCAGATTTGAGTCTGAACTGTACGTTTTGTGTAATGGGGAGATGGGATCTCACAGTGGGGCCTGGACTTGGTCTCTTTCCTAAGAGATGACATCTGTTTGCAGTGAGAATAGATTGTGACATGCAGGTACCCCAAGGGACACGACTGCCACTGCCACGGAGGCAGGTGCTAATGAGCAGGCATAAGGGGCTGCTCCCAGAGTGCACTCCCTCTGAAACCATTGTCACTGGCAGAAGCACAGGGATCACAAGGGCCCTGTCTCCAGCTCAGGCCTCTGCGCTCCTGCTCAGGAGGGGCCGAGACTGCTGTGTGGAGGCCTGAATCCCATGCTGCCCCACACCATGCTCAGGACCCTCAGGCTGATCCTGCTGGCGATGCTCAGTGCTGCGGGCCCGAGCCAGGCCAGCGGCTTCACAGGTGAAGGGGCTCGGGCTGATGTCAGTGGTTCTGGAATGGGGGCTCCCTGAGTGTGGTTGTCAGCTGAGTGGGATGTGTGTGCATTGTATATGTGTGTATTTATGCACGTGTGCATTGCACACACATGTATATGTTTATCTTTGTATATGTGTGGATACACATGTACGTTGAGAGTGTGTGTATATGCTGTATATGTGTCTGTGCTTATGTGTGAGTATACATGTGGGGGGTGTGCACACGTATGTGTCTGGAGGAGGGCTCTGTTAATGGAACCTTGTTGAACCATGGTGCTTTGAGAAGTGGTGCCATTCTTCCTTGATCAAACTTCCTTGTGACCATAAAGGAGGTGAAATGCTTACTACATAAGCAGCAACAGTATCCAAAGGCAGGACAGGAATATGGTCAGCTTTTAGGAGGAGGGCTCCTCCAACATGAGACCGTCTAGGGGGTAACGGGTTGCAAATGCAGATCAGAGTCAGCAGGACCAGTGGGGCCCAGAATTGTGTAGCTCTGTCAAAGATGATGATGCTACCGGTCCTCGGAGACTCAGAATCCTGGCTTTCCTGAACTTCCAGAGATTAAAATATTAATTTGCAGAAACAGGGACTCAGCCAGGGTGACAGAATTCACTAAGGGTATTTACAACCATGAAGACCTCGGTCCCCTGACTCCTTGCTTAGACTTTCTCCTTTTGGGAAATAGGGTCGTAAAGTCCAGCTTCCCCACTTAATAAATGTGCAACTCTTGGCTCTGCCTGGCTATTGGTAATGTAGGGATGGAAATGCTGAGTCAGGGGCTCCATGCAGTCACACCCCCAAAGGTTTGGGCAGGTAAATATATACTAAAAAACACATAGAATTTTTGAAACCTGAAGTCAGTGATTTGAGATCACACATCTCCTTTTAATCACGTTCCTCGTAAAAACTTGTCTTAGGTAGGAATTTGAGATTCATTCTGTTTTTAAAGTCAGCTTCACCTTTGTATCTGTTGAACCTTTGTTCATAAATGTGGGTGTGCATTGACTGTGTGTAAATAGAGTTTGGTATCATCGTGACTATATTTTATTTTTTGCTTGATTTTTCCTTTGGAATGGGTAATGTATGAGGCACACAGCTCAATCACAGAACCGTTGTGGTGAAGCTAGAGGAGGTCTTGGAAGACAGCTACTGGCCCCTCAGTGTCCACAGCTCCACCGTCCATGGTGGGCGACAGAGACTCTCCAGGATCCAGCTCTTGCACAGCTGCTTGCTCTTAGCTCAGATAACCGAAGCATCTGTGTTAAGTTCTCATTTTGTGTTAGGAGTTACCTTGATTTCATTTAGTTCTTCCATAACCCAGGGCACAGCAACTGTTCCACCAATGACAGAAAAGGACAGTGAGAAGCCATAAACGGCGCTCCAAACCACACAGGTGGCATTTGTGCAGCTGTGTGCAGATGTGAGTCTATTTGCCCTAACACCCAGGTTCCTCTAAAACTCTCCTGTGCTTTCTCCTAGGATCTAGGACCCTGACTTTCTGTGCTCTGATGGTTTTTGGAGGGATTGGCAGAGTGGCAGGATCTCTGTCATGAAGTCTTCCCTGGAGATGCCAGGGTGGGCAGGGCAGAATGTGAAAAACAAACAGACAAATCCCAAGTGGAGCTTTACAGGAGATATGTGTACCTGAACACATGTATGTGAGCTCACGAGCATATGTACATGAATGCACTTGTGTGTGCTGTGTATGTATGCATACGTGTGTACTATATATGCATGGATGTGTATATGTGTGCAAATGTGTATCCTTGTGTGCTTGTGTATGCACATGTGTCTGGAAGGAGGACTCTGCCAATGACCAGATGGAACCTTGCAGGAGCCACAGTGACTTTTGAGAGACGATAAACTGTACCCTTCATTAACGTGCTTGCGACCTCATCTCAAGTTCAGATGAAAACCAAAATAACATTGACATCTAGTTCACTGCGTTCACTCACTTCCTCAGAGCTTAAGGTTGTTCTCTGAGGTCGCTGGAGTAGTGACCACATTCATTCTGCCCATTTTCTCCAATCTCATCCAGCTACTGATGAGCCCTTTGCCAGACTGTGCTGTTCTCGGTCCAGGGAAGTGGATTGGCACAGTGGCAGCTGCAACGGCTCAAATGTAGCAACAGTTGTGAGGTTGGTACAGGACCAGGCAGTGTTTCATTCTGTTGTGTGCTGTGAGTCAGTACTGACTTGACAGCACCTAATAATAACTGCCCACCTAAAGAGGATCGTCTCTTTGCGGTCCAAACCTCTCTGTAACTGGCTTCTGGTGAAGAGGACACAAGATTGTCCTGCTAGAGTGTCCTTGCTGGCCCACAGGGTGGCAGGCTGCCCGCAAGTCTCTGTGCACAGCTGCGTTGCTTGTAGAATATGCTCACTGGGGCAAGCGTTAAGACTCTAGCCCGCTGCGGGGTGTGGTCTCTCTCAGCCTAGGGTAGAGGGCTTCCCCAGCCCTTTTCTATCTGGGGGCTCTTGAGTATTAACAACTTTCTAGGTTTTTGCACCTATGAATACATGTCCTTGGGCATGTGGGGGCAAGGAGCTTGCTTACTGTGGGGCTGTTGTGAAGTTAAAGAATGTTTAGAGCTCCTGCCCAGGGTAAGGAGATGAAGATACTGCTGTTACTGTTATTTTTGCTGACACCTCTGAGTTCCTCCTGCAGAAATCCAGTTAGTCATTGGAAATATAAACTATATTTCTGAGTCCCTCCAGTTTAGAAAACGATAGCACTTTTCTTCGCTGCTTAGGGCTACTGTAACAGAAATACCACAGTTAGGTGGCTTTAAAGAACAAGGCTGTCAGTTCAAACCTACCAGCCACTCCTTGGAAACCTTAGACAAGGTCACTATGAGTCAGAACCAACTCCACAGCACTTAGCAACAACAACAAATGAACAAAAATGTACTTTCTCACTGTTCCAGAGGCTAAAAGTCTTATTCAGTGTCTTTGCCCTGTTGATCCCTTCTGTGTAGGTGACTGTGGGCATTCCCATTTTCTGTGTCTAATTTGCTCTTTTTATAACTCAGACATAATTAGGTTTAGGACTCACCCTATTCTGGTATGGCCCCAACTGATTGAGTAATTGGATTACATTATGGAAAGTTGTTGCGTTATATTACATTGCCTTATATCCACGGGTATACAGGTGAGGATTGCAACATATATTTTGGAGAGACACAACAATTCAACCCCTACTAGAACTCTGAGGTTGAATGCCTGAAAATGCCTAAGATGTTTAAACTATTTACTTTAGTTTCCTAGGGCTGCTGTAACAACAACAACAAAAATCCCTCAAGTGGGTGGTTTTAAAGCACAAGCATTTATTGGAGTCCTGGTGTGGCGCTGTGGGTTAATGCACCAGACTGCAAAGCCGTTTGAACTGCAAGGTCCGCAATTCAAGCTCACCAGCTGCTCCTCGGAAACCCTATACAGGGTCACTATTGATTGGAACTGACTCCACAGCACTTAACAACAACAAGTTTTAGAGGCTAGGAGGCAAACTAGGGTATTGATTTTAGTGGCAGGTCCTTGTGGGTAGCCCTGGGCATTTCCTGGGTTGCAGAGGAGCTTCCCGTGACCTCTGTTTTCCTCCTGAGTGTGCCTGTGTCTATTTTGCTTTTTTTCCATAACGCAGAAGTGAGAGGTTTAGGGCCCACCCTACTCTGGTGTGGCCCCCAAAGGAAAAATCTACCTCCAAACAGGGTCACATTCACAGGTTCAGAGCTAGGGCCTTAACATTTATTGTGTGGAAAACAAGTCAACCCACAACATCATTCATTCATCCTACTCTGAAAGCCCCATTATACAGGGAGCTAAGTTAGCGTAGTGGTTACGAATCGGGCTGCGAACCTTAAGGTCAGCGGTTCGAAACTACCAGCCGCTCCACGGGAGAAAGATGAGGCTTTCTACTCCCGTAAAGATTTACACCCTCGGAAACCCTGTACAGGGTCGCTATGGGTCGGACCCGACTCGATGGCACTTAACAACAACAAAGTTATACTAGGTGCTAAGGACAAGCCGTGGTTTCTGAAATTGAGTCAACAGAGGCTCACTGGGGAGTCCCAGGAGCCGCATGGGGGATAGTTCATGGCAGAGACTCAGGGCTGGTGAATGTACCATTCGGTTGGATGGTTACTTTGTGCCTTCCTCCTCGGGTGACCATAGTAACTATGCAACTAAACTTCATCATCTCTAAATCTTTTCACACATCTTTAAATTGTCATTTATTTTTACTTCATTCCAAAAAAGGTTTCATTGTCTCCCATGTCTGGCATACAGTGAGCTTTCAGGAGACATTTGTTGATGAGTTTGTTGGATATTTCTTTCACAGCTGGGGAGCCTGAGGCTCACAGAGATTAAGAGGTGTGCTTGAGGTTCCCGTCAGTGGGACTGGAACCCAGAGAGCAGAGGATGATGGACTCTAAGGTTTTGGTTCTAAGTCCTTGTTCTTGCTTCAGTGGTTTGTCACTGGGGGAGAAGTCTCTGGGTGGGACAGATGGTGAAGGTACTTAGCTGCTAATCAAAAGGTTGGTGGTTCAAATCCACCCAGAAGCACCTTGGAAGAAAGTCCTGGCAATCTACTTCATTAAAACCCTATGGAGCGCAGTTCTACTCGGATACTCATAGGGTTGCCATGAATTGGGGTCGACTAGACAGCAACTGGTTGGCTAGAGAAATGTGAGTTGGGCCCAGGGTAGTAGCTCCATGCTCTGCAAAAGTGGATTTCTTTTCATGCCTGTCCATTTTATGCTTTCTTCTGTTTAGTTAACACAAATGCAGAATGTTTGTTCTTGGAGTGCTTGGAGACAGACTCTAGAGAGAAGACCAGTGGGCAGGCTCTGAGAGTTTGGTCAAATGGGTCTTGCTTTTGCAGAAGGGGAGGTGGACCGTTCATAGGGACTTGATTGGGTGTCTCTTTCTTTGGCTTCACGGTCCTCCCTTCTTTCCTTCCCTTCCTCCCTTAGAAAAAGGCCTCTCCTTGTTGAGCTACCAGCTGTGCAACTATCAAGTGACCCAAAATGTCCAGAAGGTGGTGTCCTTCCAGATGTCTTCTATGATCTACACTTCCTGCGGCGGGTGGATTCCTTGGCAGCGGTGTTCCAAGACTGTTTACAGAACACAGTACCTGACTATGGGGGTCCCCGAGACCAGGAACGTGACTGACTGCTGCCAGGGGTACGAGCAGCTGGGCCTCTACTGCGTCCTGCGTAAGTCCTGGAGCTGGGAAATGGTGGAGTAGAGTTCTATTGAGGTGCACCCATTGTTGTGAAGGCCTCAGACCATGTCACCTTGGTATCAAGAGTATGGGCCTTACAGTTAGACAGCCATAGGGCAGACTCCAGTTCTCCACTGCCTCTCACCTGTGTGTAAGCAGCCACACTTCTTTCTACCTGTATCAGGCCTATAGGTCATGGCCCAAAAGGCTGAAGTGGGTCCTCAGGACGTGCTAACCAGTGGCTTGGTCCTACCCCAGCAACTCCACACCACAGCAGCCCCTCCTGTGCTAAGACTTTTTCCAGTGCCAATTGCTGTTGAGTGGATTCTGACTTGAGGGCAACTCATGTGTGTCAGACAGAACCGAGCTTATAGGTTTTCAGTGACTATCTTTCAGAAGCATGTTGTTATTAATAATAGTGCTTCCGAGTTGATTCTGACCCATAGCGACCCTGTTTAGGGTTTCCAAGGAGCAGCTAGTGAGCTTGAACCACCGGCCTTGCAGTTCAAATGGCTTTGCAGTCTGACGCATTAGACCACAGCGTCATACCAGAACTCAGAAGCATGAGGGACCTTCAAAAAGTTTGTGGAAAAATTCCATTATCTTTTCATTCTATTTTCCACAAACTTTTTGAAGCCCTTAATGAGTTCTTTGGAAACCTTTCTTCTGAGGGGGTCTCTGGGTGAACTTGAAGGCAAGAGCATTAACCATTTGTAACACCTAGACATTTCCTCAGGATTGTGACCTTTCTGTAAAGGATGCCACTTTGCTATACCAGCTCTTCTGCTGCCATGACAGGATGGCTGGAGCTCTTCCCCACCACCTGCCCCCAGTCTTCTCAACAAAAAGCCATGGTAAATGCTACTTATGGACATTAGCCCCAGTTTTAGAATGTGGTCATCTTTAATGAGTAGCTCTTCAGGATGAGGAGAGGTGGAAAACATTCTAGTTAGAATCCCCTGAGCAGGAAAAGTGCCCTAGCCCTGGGAGCTAAAGTAATGGTGTGACTGGAGCAGACAGGGGGATATCACTGGGAGCAGGGTCTTCAGGGAGAAGTTCCAAGACCAAAACGGAAGGGAGTGGGCATGCCGGATAGCTCCAGTCCTCCAGAGGGGTGTGTATTACAGCCCCCCACTAGGTCCTGGGAGGGCCACTCTAATGGCAGTGTGGAAGACAGTGGACAGGAGCCCAGGATGCGGGAATCTTCAGGAACATCTCTGCTTGGTGCCAGGGTCTGATATAGGGCACATCCAGTTGTGGGGAAGCTAGTCCCTACCCCATTCAAGGGCTAACTGTGAGGCTCTCTTCCCAGCTCCATGATCAGTTGTAACTTAAAATTGCCCATGGTAGGAGACTGGCAAACACCACAAATCAGGGCTCCCCATACCCTCAAAAGTCAACATGCCAGAACACCAAGCTTCTTCACGCTCACACAGATCATTTGATCAGAGAGTTTGAGTGTTTAATTAGAGTTCATTTGGAGATGCCATGAGGGAGACTGGCTACTTGGATCATGTCAAGGAGTGATGAGCTCAGAGCTGTTGGTCTGATTTGTATAGAATGAGTCAGGGCCTCGGCCTGGGCTCTGGAGACATCCAGAACAAGCTGAAAGGTTTGGGATGGAGATAGGGCAATGGACAGTCTCCTGGGGCCCAGGGCCCACTCATTTGCTAAAGTGAGGGGTTTTTGACAGCAGGTGCTCTGAGCTTCAGAAGTCTTGTCCCCAGCAAGACTAGTTTCCTTCTTCCTCCTCCCACTTGGCAGCAAGTTACCTCCCACTCACCAGCAAATTATCTACCAAAGGGAAGAACATTGTCTGAGCACAGGCAATACATCTATCTAAATGACTTTTTCAATGTTAAATTCTGTATTTAGGTCTCCAATGTAAGCCATACATTACTTTATCAAATTACACCTCCCCCCAATTATAAAAATGAATACATGTTCAGTGTAGAAAAATTTGGAAACACAGAAAAGCACAAAGAAAGACAAGTGGCTAAGAAGAATGCTACCCAGGAATAGCCATCCACTGCTGATGTTTTCTTTAAGCGTCCCTGGGTGGTGCAAATGGTTATGCATTCAGCTACTAGCTGAAAGGTTGGAAATTCGAATGTACCCAGAGGCACCTCAGAAAACAGTCCTGGTGCTCTGATTCTGAAAGGTCACAGTCTTTTCAAGGGGTCACCATGACTTGGACAGCAACTAACAACAGTTTTTTTTTAGTATTTCTCCAGTGTGTATATTTTTCAGAAGTATTCAAGATCTTTGACCATTATCAGTTTGTCCTGCCCATCTCTTGATGGCAGTAAATAGTGTAGTACAACCTAATTCGACGGTCATATATGAATATATCAGCATTGATTATGCAAGTAATTTGTTAACATATAGTTTCCAGTTTTTCATGATTAAAAATAATGCATCTGGCACAAATATTGCTGTGCACAGTTTGGATTATTTGTTGTTGTTAGGTGCCATTGAGTCACCTCCAACTCATAGCAACCCTTATGTACATTGTCTAGGCCTATGCCACTCTCACAATTGTTGTTAGGTTTGAGCACATTGTGACAGGCCATCATGTTGAGGGTCTTCCTCTTTTCTGCTCACCCTCCATTTCCCCAAGCATGATATCCTTCTCTGGGACTGGTCCTTTCTGATAGCACGTACATGAGATGAAGGTTTGCAATCTTGAATTCTAGGAGGTATTTTGGCTCTCCTTCTTCCAACATATTTGTTTGTTCTTGCGCAAATGTGGTGAAGGATACAACTCTGATGTATACCTTTCTGATTTTAATTTATGCAGCATCCTCTTGATCTGTTAGAATGACTGTCTTTTGGTTTATATACAGGTTCCTCACAGGCACAATTAAGTGCTCTGGAATTCCCATTCTTTGCAATGTTATCCATATTTTGTTATGACCCACACAGTCGAATACCTTTGCATAGTCAAAACAAGTAAACATCTTTCTGGTATTCTCTGCTTCCCATCAAGATCCCTCTGATTTCAGCAATCATATCCCTCATTCCACATCCTCTTTGGAATCCAACTTGAATTTTTGGCAGTTCCCTGTTAATGTACTGTTGCAATTTTGTTGAATTATCTTCAGCAAAATTTTACTTTCATATGATATTAATGATATTGTTTGATAATTCCCACATTCTGTTGGGTCACCGTTCTTTGGAGTGGGCACAGCAATGGATCTTTTCCATTTGATTGGCCAGGTAACTGTTCTTCAAATTTCTTGGTATAGACAAATGAGTACTTCTAGTACTGTATTTATTTGTTGAAACATTTCAATTTGTATTCCATCCATTCTTGGACCCTTGTTTTTTGCTAAGGCCTTCAGTGCAGCATATATATCTTCCTTTAATGCCATCAGTTCTTCAACATATGTCACTTCTTGAAATGATTGAATATTGTGCAATTCTTTTTGGTACAGTGACTCGGTGTATTTCTTACATTTTCTTTTTATTCTTCTTGCATAGCTTATTATTTTGTTCATAGAACCCTTCAATACTGCAAGTGGAAGCTTGAATTTTTCCTTTAGTTCCTTCAGCTTGAGAAATGCTGAGTGTGTTCTTGCCTTTTGATTCTTTTGTTGTTTTTTTTTGTTAGGTGCTGTCAAGTTAGTTTTGACTCATAGTGACCCTATGTATCTCAGAATGAACCACTGCCAAATCCTGCACCATCCTCACAAGTACGCTAAGTAGCCCATTGCTACTGCCACATTGTCAATCCCTCGTGATTTAAGTATAGTAAAAGAATACAACCCAGGCACACACCTCTTCTGATTTTAAACCATTCAATATCCATTTGTTCTGTTTGAACAACTTCTTCTTGGTCTGCGTACAGGTTCCTCATGAGTACAATCAAGTGGTCTGGAATACTATTCCTTGCAATGTTGTCTCTAGCTTGTCATGATCCATATAGTCAAAAACCTTTGTATAGTCACTAAAGCACAAGTAAACATCATTCTGGTATTTTCTGATTTCAACCGCTATCCATCTGATGCCAACAATGATATCCCTCACTCCAAGTTATTTACTTAGAATCAATTCCGGAGGGGAACTTGTTGTTGTTAAGTGCCATTGAGTCAATTCTGACCCATAGCAACCTTATATAGGGTTTCCAAGGAGCAGCTGGTGAGCTTGAACGACCAACCTTGCAGTTCAAATGACTTTGCAGTCTGATGCATTAACCCACAGCGCCACACCAGGACTCCAGGAGGGGAACTAGGAATCTTAAAGACCTATTCTTGTGCTAGTTTCCTAGGGCACCTGTAACAGAAATGTAAGCAGGTGGCTCTAAAGAAGAGAAATCTGTTTGCTCACAGTTCAGGAGGCTCCAAGTCGGAATTCAGGGCTTCAGCTTGAGGGGGAGGCTTTTCTCTGTCAGCTCTGAGGGTAGATCCTTGTCTCTTTTAGCTTCGGTAGCACTAGTGACTCACTGGGCTAAGCAGTGGGCTGCGAACCAAATTTGATGGTTTGATCCCACCAGCTACTCCACAGTAAAGAGATGAGGCAGTCTGCTTCTGGAACGATTTACAACCTTGGGAGTGCCATGGAGCAGTTAGACTCTACCCTTATTGGGTTGCTGTGAATTGTAATGCACTCAAGGACAGTGGGTTATTGGTTAGCCCTGGGTTCCTTAGTTCCTTGGTGGTATTCATGTAATAATTTTCTTCCCCTGGCATATGCTTGCTTCTGTGTCTAATGTGCTATTTTTTTAAAACTCAGAAGTGATTCTATGTAGGACTCACTCTACAGTTCTACAGCCTCACTAACAAAACAAAGACAAATCTATCTCTAACTGAGATTATGTCCACAGGTATAACCCATTGTCTTCACGTTAATGCCATTCCAACTTATGGTGACCGTATAGGAAAGAATAGATTTGCCCTACAGAGTCTCCAAGGCTGTAATTGCTACAGAAGCAAGCAGCTGTATTTTCTCCTGTGGAGTAGTTGGTAGGTTAGAACTGCTGACTTTTTGGTTAGCAGTTAAGCGATTAACCACGGTGCCACCAGAACTTCTTTCCACAGGTGTGGGTTTGCTAGTTGCTCCGTGACAGACTAGAATTGCCCCCATAGGATTTCCTGGGCTGTAATTGGAGTCCCGACATGGTGTTGTTGGATAAACACTGGATGCTGACCATGAAGTCGGTGGTTCACACCCACCATACACTTCTTGGAAACCCTATACAGGATTGCTAGGGGTCAGAACCAACTCTGTGACACTCAACAACAACAACAATTTGTCATGGAACAGATTGCCATGCCTTTGTCCTGCAGAGCTGATGGTTAGTTTCAAATCATCAGCCTTTCAGTTAGCAGCTGAGCACTGGACAGCGGTATCTCTAGCACTCTTTCTCCACAAGTAGAGGAGTTAGGAGTCCAACACATATTTTGGGGAATACAATTCAATTCCTAATATACCAGCTGTTTCCCCACCATCTGCCTTCGCCATGGGCTCAGCTTTCTGGCAAATCTCCCTCAATGGTGACTCAAGGAAGGAGACAGACTCAGGCAGAGGTGTATCTGTAGCAGGTATGGCATGTACCCACTAGAAAGTGGTGCCACTGAGCAGTTTCTATTAACCCAGTGTGGTCCAGAGTCCTTCCGCTAGCAACAGGCCTACAGGCATACATGGCGGTTGGAGGTGGAGTGGAGGACAGGGAGGAACATTTGTTTCTGCTTGCATGTCCAAGAGGGGCACCAGGCAGTGTTCAGAATCTGAGGTACTACAAATATGAATGACACCTGACCGAGGCAGTCGGACAAGAGGAAGGAAAATGTTTTTGATGACAGTTGCTGCTATCATCTTGAAACATCGTTTGTATCTCTCTCTCTCTCTGTGTATGCACATAGTGATTGCCCCTGAGTGCTTGCATTGGCCCAGTACTCAATTTAGAGATTGCTCCTGGGTGCTTGTTATCCTTGCTAAGCCCCTGGGACTCAAGATCAGATTCCTGGACCCTAGAGGAGCCTTTGATGCTTTTGCTCAAACAGAAACCTCTGCTGTTGCTGAGCTGAACTGCAACTAACCTCAAGTTGCCAGGCAATGGGCATTGTTTGTTTGAGTTAGGGAAAGGAGAAGCAGGGTTTTAACTTTCTACCAAGTGCAATTGTTGGCAGTTCTCTTAGGTCTTGCTAACAGTCAGCCCAGAGTGATGGAGGGGGAATCCCAGCAGCAACCAAATTAAAATGATGAACGTTAATTTGAAAATGCTTCTGTTGCGATTAGGCAAACCTTTTTGAAAGACATTTTGTCTTTGTTTTGGTAGCCTGTATATTCTTTTTTTTGACTGAAACAAATAAGAAACAGACAGTTATCTTACCTAGTACTCCTACTGTAGGTAAATCTGAAGATTTTCAGCATAAACTCCAGGCAGTCCTTTCAAACAGCTTCATAATCTATAAATCAATAATAAAGCACCTACAAGAGATGTTTTGAAACATCAGCTTCCCTCTTTATATTATCATTTGATTTAAATACACTTTTATTTATTTATTTTTTTAAGTTTAGCGTGCTTTTAGATTGACAGAGACGATGCAGCCATAATATATAAGTAGTTCCTATATACTCCTGTCTCAGGTTCCCCTAATGTTAAGATCTTTCATTGTTGGTGTGTGCTGTCACTAGGCCTTTTTCCTAGTCTGATTTAGTCTGGAAGCTTTGCTGAAGTCTGTTCAGCATCATAGCCACACACAAGCCTCCACTGACAGATGGGTAGTAGCTGCACAGGAATGAAACCTGAGTCCCCACGTGGGGAATTTAACCACTGAATGGTCCATTACCACAGTACATTTGTGAGGGTGGTACAGGACTCGGCAGTGTTTCCATCTGTTTGCTTAGGGTCACTATGAATCAGAACCGAGTCAAAGGCACCTAACAACAAGAATGAACCAACACTGGCACATTGTTGCTATTGCTGTGTTATCAAGCCAATTCTGAATCATAGCATCCCTTTAGGACAGAGTTGTTGTTGTTGTTGTTGTTGTTGTTAGGTGCCATCGAGTCAGTACCGATCCATAGCGACCTTATGCACAGCAGAACTAGAAGGATGGAGTAGTATGGTCCTATAGAGTTTCCTTTGCACAGCAGAACTAGAAGGACGGAGTAGTATGGTCCTATAGAGTTTCCTAGCCTCCTGGTGTGGTGCTGTGGGTTAATGTGTCAGACTGCAAAGCCATTTGAACTGCAAGGTTCAAACGGCAGCTCAAGCTCACCAGCTTCTCATCGTAAACCCTATACAGGGTTGCTATGAGTCGGAATCGATTCAACGACACTTAACAATAACAACAACAATGAGCCCTGCTATGGTGGTGTAAGATAAGCACTGGACTGCCCACTGCAAGGTAAGCAGTTCAAACCCACCAACTGCTCCTCAGAAACCCTATAGAAGGTTGGAACCAACTAGCTGACACTTACCAATAACAATTTTTGCAGGAGAAGCCCTGTAGGTGCTGTGGCTAAATCACTCAGCTGCTAACCAAAAGGTTGGTGGTTCAAACCCACCAGTCACTTTGCAGGAAAAAGATGTGGCAATCTGCTTCTGAATAGTGTGGTCAGCCTCAGAAGCCCTCTGGGCAGTTCTGCTCTGACCGACAGAGTTGCGTTGAGTTAGAATGGACTCTGAGGAAATGGGTTTGGGTTTTTGGTTTTCTTTCTGGGAGCTGATCACCAGGTCTTTTTCTCCCAGAGTCACTGGTGGGGTCAAACCACTGACCGTTTCATTAGCAACTGAGTTTTTGACATGAGGGCTCCTTCATGTTGTTGTGAAGTGCCATTGAGTCAGTTCTGACCCATAGGCATCCTGTATAGGGTTTCTAAGGAGCACACCGAGCTTTTGGTTCAAAACGCTTTTGCAGTCCAACGCATTAACGCCATACCAGGACTCTACTGCTAATCTAATTCCACACTGATTCCGATTTTACTAGTTTTCTGCTAAGGATCCCACATCACATCTAAACACCTGGAGGCACTTTTTTTTTTTTTACGTGGGAAGTGGAAGCAATGGTCTTTAGAGTCTTGGTTAGCAACACTTTAGGAGTCCTGGCATTTCCATCTTCATGTTTCATGTCGTCCCAAGATCCCTCCCCTGTCCTGTGATATATGTAGGAGCGTTAGGTGCTGGGGTAGTCAGATGGCTTTCAAATGAGCAGTGACCCAAAGACAGTGTTCGAAGGTCCTGACCTTCAAGAGTAAGGGCTGAGGTGTGCCAGGCTGCTGCTCTCACTCCCTGGCCCAGGTAGAGGTCACCTCTCCTGGGAATACTCTCCTGACCCTGCATTATTCTGTATAGCTTCATCCCTTCTGTTTGCACATTTGCTTTTGCCCCCACTGGGAATTTAGATTCCTGAAGGGTGCTGCTTGTGTTCAGGGCACCATGCACTTACAGAGTAGGTGCTCTGTAAGTGTTTATTGCATGAATGAGTGGGTGATCAGGAAGTGTATCAGCAGGGGTTACATCTCCCTGCACCTGGACTCATATGATCTAAAGGGAAAGAGGATACCAGGATCTCAGCTCACACTGTCCGCCTTCAAGGAGAGACAGCTGATTGGATCTATACTAAATACAGATCCAGCAGGCCCGGGGGGCTTCTGGGCAGGATGGAGACTCCACTCGGCCCCTCCGGAGACTTTCAGTGTCCTTTACTGTGTTGTCCCCCAGCCCTGAACCGATCCAGGGAGTTTGCGTCAAAGCCTGGTGTCTGCCAGACAGTGGGACAGGGACTCTCCACCTCACCCTGCACCTTGGATACAGACTGCCCTGGATTTCAGAAGTGCTGCCACTTGTCCAGGGGCCACCGCTGCATGGACCCTGCACCCCCAGGTAGGTCACAGCCATTGTAGTCTGAGGATTGAGGGAGGAAGGGGTTCATTTCAGTGGGATGTGGGACGGAGGTTCCGTGTGGCGGGTTCCATACACAGCCAACTTCACTGCGCACATGGGCAGATTCAGAGCATTTTGTTTTGGGTCAGCATCTGGTCACTGAAATTTCAGGAGGGCAAGGGGCCCCAGAGAGAAATGATCCGAATCTCCCAGTTTTTCTGAGGAAGCCCCAGGAGGCTCAAGGAGGTTTGTTGGAAGCTGAACCCCTCTGGTTATGGGGAAGGTGCAGGTCCATGACTCCAGAGGTCCTGGCTAGCTTGTATGCATCTATCTGGTTTGGAATGTCCTTGACATGAGGGCTTCACCCAGGAGAATGGGTCGTCCATGGTCAGAGGGAAAAACATGTATAATATACATTGAAATAAAAAGTTTATATAAAATATTATTTATAAAATCTAAAATAAAAACATATTCATAATATTCAAATTCTATTAGATATTATAGTATTAAAAGGAGCTCTGGTGGTGCAATGGTTAAGTGCTGGCTGAAAGGTAGGAAGTTCAAATCCACCCAGAGGTCTACAGGAGAAAAATCTGACAATCTGCTCCTGTAAAGATGAACCCCAAACCAAACCCAAACCAAACCCAGTGCCATAGAGTCAGTTCCGACTCATAGAGACCCTATATAGGGTTTGCGAGACTGTAAATCTTTATGGGCCTAGACAGCATTGTCTTTCTTCCACACAGTGGCTGGTGATTTTGAACCACGAATTTTGTAGTTATCAGTCGAACTCAATGACATGTAATCATCATAACATAGTTATTAAATATTACAGTCCCTAAGTATGGCTGCTTCCTTGGTGTGTATAGTTACTTATTTAGTCCTGCTGTCCTGCTGTGGTGCTGTAGGATAAGCACCAGAATGTTAACCTCAAGGTTGGTGGTTCAAACCCACCAGTCATTCCTTGAAAACAATTTGATGGCACTTAACAACAACAACAAAGTATAGTTACATGAATAGAAATGATTTATAATATTTAAATTATTAGAAAGTTAACAATTTACAAATAGTATTCAGTAGTTTAAATATTATAATTTAATATTTGTAAATTTTAAATGATTAAATATGGTTTCATCTCATAGTGACCCTGCATAGGGTTATCGAGTCTGTGCATGTTTGTGGGAGCAGAAAAACCTCGTCTTTCTCCTGAGGAGTGGTTGGTGGGCTTGAACTACGACCTTGTCATTCACAGTCCAGTGCTTATTGTACAGTGCCACCACGTTCCCCCTATAAAAATTATTTACATTTAAATTAAATTATGAAAGACTTATAATATTTAAATTATTGAATTCTATGGCATATGTAAATTATTACATATTGTCTAAATATAAATCGTAAGTATATTTCAGTAAGGGAAGATCCATTCTTATGGGTTGAAGGCCAGTGCCAATATGGTCTTCCGTGGTCTTCAGGAAGATGAGGATGAAGGGGCAGGAAGTGGGGGGAGCTTCTCACAAGGTCAGCTTTCTTCCTATAGGGAGGTAAATACCACCTGTCATGTGGGTCTGTCATGTGGGGGTCCCTGCCTCCTCTCTCCCCCACTTCGGGGGCACTTCTTTGTCCTAGGGATTGTAACCAACAGCATTTGCTTTTACGAAGCTCTGGAGAGGAACCTGTCAAATTTTTGGTACAATGTGACCGTGCTGGTGAAAATGGACTTCAAGGAGCTCAATCACGTGGACCCCCAGCTCCTGAACCACATGAGGCTCCTGTACTCCATGGTAGGTGTCTTGGGAAAGGTTGTTCTGTAGAAGGCCTGGGAAGTGCTGATCGGAATTCGCAAACAAGGCACAATGAATGTTTTAGCCTGCATCATTCTTTGTTGCAGGGGGCTGTCCTGTACAGGGGTTAGCAGAATCCCTGGCCTGTACCCACTAGTTTCCAGGTACACCTGCCTAGATGTGACCATTGAAGATGTCTCCAGTCATTACCACTTTCCTCTCATTGGGCAACACCACCCCCAGATGAGAACTATAGTGATTGCTACAGCTCACACTTCCTGATGTCTCAGCAGCAATGTGTAGCCAGGATGCCCCTGCATTTCCCTTTTTCTTTTCACTTAGACACATATTTAATAATTGTAGAAATCCAAAAGAAACTCAGCATCAAATCTCGAAATTGTGAAGTGACATCTTTGGTTGGGTCAGTTTGCCTAGCCTGGATGTACCATAGGCCTTCTCTCACCTACTGAGCTGCCTCAAGCCGTGAGGGAGCGGGACTATGTAGACTTCTGCATTATCTTATTATGTTTATGTTTCAATAAAGCATTTGTGCCAATGGCTTTAGAGTTTGGAGGAAGACTAAAGATTCTGGTAAAGTTGTATCTACACTTTGTAGGTAGCAAGGTACTTACTGCTCATCAGCCTCAGGTGCCCCCCCCCTCCCCCAGGGTAGTGGCATCCTCATGGCCTGCACTCAAAGAGGTCCAAACTTGGTTTAATGTTCTGCCATCACCTCATAAAATGCTTTATAACTCTGGAACAAGGGACCCATGTTTTCATTCTATACTGGACCCTGCACATTATCTTCGGGTGTCATAGCTTCAGATCCAGGACCACGTTCTTCCTTAGTCTTGAGACCCAACCACCTGGCATGTGGCATGGATCACGAAGAGGTGGCACACATATGCACCACGTTCTGGGTCACTGTCCAGTAAAGCTGCTTGAGAGGTGTTCCACTTACTTTTACCTGGAAGCCTCCTGGACCATTTCAGGTGAAAGTGATTTCTATCTTCTTAGCTTTTTGGGAACTTCCTAATTGATCAGCAAGATCCTGGAGTGAGACTGTCTGGGTTCAAATCTCAGCTGTGTGACATTGGGCAACTTACTTAACCTCACTATGTCTTAGACACCTCTTCCACGAGATAAAGTAAGTGTTCTATGAGGATGGTGGTCGTTATTGTCATTACGTGGTGTGGAGTCGGTTCTGACTCAGTAACCCTGTACAGGGTTTCTGAGAAGAATATTGAAAGTGCCATGGGCTGCCAAAAGAACCAATAGATCTGTTTTGGAAGAAGTGCAGCCAAGGTGCTCCTTAGAGGCCAAGATGGCCAAACTTTGTCTCTCATACTTTGGACATAATATCAGGAGGGACCAGTTGCTGGAGAAGGATATGTTTGGTAAGGTGGAGGGTCAGAGAAAAAGGGGAAGACCCCCAATGAGATGGATTGGCCAAGTGGCAGCATCGATGGACTCAAGCATGGCAACAGTAGTGAGGTTGGCCCAGGATTGGGCAGTGTTTCATTCTGCTGTACATAAGGTTACTTTGGGTCGGTACCAACTTGATGGCACCTAACAACAACAACAACAACAAATCTTGATGGGAGCAGAAAGCCTCATCTTTCTCCTGTGGGACAGCTGGTAGTTTCAAGCTGCTGACCTTGTGGTTCGCAGCCCGATTCGTATGTGGTGGTGGTGAGGTTTAAATAAGTTAGTGCACATAAGGAACTTAAAATGGCATCCAGCATGTGTAAGTTCATGTGGTTGTGGGTTTGGGTATTTAAATGTTATCACTGTACATCCTGTTATCTCATCCATGTGTAGGTTTTGTTTTTTCAGCCAGGCTATTACCCTCCCAAAAGGAATGTCCTGCCATCAGGGTACTGACGGTAGCAGGTGATACTGATGGCAGAAAAGCTTGATTCTGCAGTTGAATAAGAAATTCCCATATCTCTTATGCCCTCTAATTACAAATTATATCTCCTTTCATGAAGGTATTTAAAGTTGACCAAGGGGAAGGACTCCAGTTTTCTCTCCAAACCTTCTTTCTTGCTCCCAACAGTGACTTGGGGCTCCATTGGCCAAGCCTGTTCGGTGATCCTGTTCTGGTTGTGCATTGAGGCTGAGTTGTCTGGCTTTGTTGAGGTTGAGATTCAAGATGTCAGGCTTAAAAAAAAGAGTTCATAGGAAATAACAGAGGGAACATTAAACCAATAAAAATCATCAGATGTGTACAACATAAGACCATGACTTTGGTCTTCTACTGTGTATCTTCTTACCATCCACTACAGAAGCCCCATAGCATCGGTGGCGGTGGACTAAACATCCTGGGGTTGACTGGGGCTGTGGAAGGATTTGCAGTTCTCGTTTGCAGGACTTTTATTGGGGTGATCTCAGATGTCAAAATATTGAAGAAATTCTTTTTTTGTAGCACAAAATGGGGTGTGTGTGAGTATACATGCATGTGTGTGCTGTATGTACGTGTGTGATTGTGAAGGTGTGTATGTGTGAGGGTATGTCTTATATACATATGTGTTTGAGAATGTGAGTCTGTGTATGTATATGTGTCTATGTGTGTCTATGTGATAGTGTATGTATTTATGTGAGAATGTGTGTATATGAGAGTAAGTAAAAACGTATTATTACCAGGGTTCCAGTTCATACATGCACAGGTTCATTGCAAACAAACTGTGTTTAAGCATGTCTCTGTGATCAGTGGATGCATGCAGACAGGTTCTCTCATGTATGCACTTGTGTATATGTGTATACATTTGTCTTAGTCTTGTTAGAGTGCTTGCCACTCATTTATTGGGTGCTTCGACCATTATGTACTTTGTAACTTCTGTGAACCACAGTCTCCTCTTCTGTCAAGTGTGGGCGCCCTTCCACTGCTTGATGTGCTGACTCTGTTTCCACAGGTCACGAGTGCACTGCAGCCGCTGGACTCCACTGTCCACCACTTGCACTCAGCCGGTGGAGACCCCTCCACCACAGTGTCACGGCTGCTGCTGGGTCTGACTCGGCCGCTGCCTGTAGCCAACATCTCCACAGTGCTGGATGACATCGTGCGGCGTGTATACGAAGTGATCAACATTCAAGTTCAAGGTTGTATTTTCTCTTGGTTCTCTGTTTGCGAGAGGCTGCAATGTGGGGTTGAATAGCAGATCCAAATGCTAAGCTTCCATTCTTCACACACTTTGTTGTTGTTGTTAAGTGCCATCGAGTCGGTTCCGACCCATAGCGACCCTGTACAGGGTTTCTGAGGGTGTAAATCTTTACGGGAGTA